CAGGCTGCTGTCTTACTGTTAGTCAGTGTGACCATTTGCTCTACCTGTGATACAGTATCGATGTTTGATGTAATGTAAAGATTTGATTGTTGTATCAAAATTAGGTCTCCACCAATAGTATTCTGCCAAATTAAGCAAAACTTGAAGGGGGCGCCATCATGAAACCAACAAATTAATTTCTCCATTTTGGTTTCTGATTTTTTTTTTTCTCAAACGTGAACACAGGACAAGGAATTTACAAAGCAGATATGCATACTGTAAAAGACAAAGAAAGCAATCTAATTTCAGTTTTAAAGCATTGTCTAAATTGAAATGCACTATCCCAGCACAGCATGGCACGACTTAGTTCATAAAGCACATAATGATGCCTGCTTGAACAGATAACATCACAGAACCCAGAGGAAGCTGGACTTATTACTGTTCTGCCTAACATTCCAGCGGCTGGGTGGAGGAGGAGTGACATGAATCAGAGGAGACACAACAAGAGAAGAGGGAATGGGGGGAAAGAGAGAGAGAGGATGAGTGATGTGCTTATTAAATTTCTGCTTTCTCAACCTGCAAAACATTATCCACAGCTGGTCACAGACGAATCTGAGGTCATCAGTTTTAGCCATGGCATCACTAGCACTTAAAACGTCTTGGCCCTCTGACACCTCATGTGGAACTTGGTGTTGGTCTAGCACTGAAATGCTGAAAAATAAATGTATGTATTATTGCAAGTTGGACCAGTGTACAGGAGTTTATTGCAAGAGTTTCGCTTTCTTTAACTCAAACAAGACTAATTAGTTTTCTCATAAAGACAGTTATACTGTAAGTGTATATTAATGTCTCAGTTACATCTTACTACAATTCTCTGTGCACCGACATGAGTCAGCAAAACCTCCAAAACAAGGTTTTACTTACAGCAGCATGCTGTAAGTAGTTACATGACTGATCTTTTAACTCCTTACGGTAGTGTGGTAGTACTCAAATCTTAAGACCACTTTATGATGGTCTTGGTCTCGTCTCAGACTCGACCGCATTTGCAGGATTTTATTTCAAGACCACTCAAGATCATAACTTTGGGAATATCAATAAATTGCTTTTGCGTTGTCTGATTTATTTGTTAACATCCTAACTTTGACTGGAGAAAGTTTTCTTATTTTAATTGTTGTGTATTTCATTATTTAATTGCTGTGTGTATCAACAGGTACTGGCTAATGATTAAGTGAAATTCTAATAATGCAGTGGTTTTCAAGATAGGAGTACAGTGGTGAGTGGAGAACAGAGGAGAGTAGAAGGAAGAGGGGGACAGGTGGAGCAGAGGAGAGAGGAGGTAAAAGTGAAAGTAAAAGAGCTGGAGAGGACAGAAGACAGGTGACTATCAAAGCTGATCCAAAAAAGTCAGCATGAGGTTAAGTAAAGAAGTTCCTGTCACAATTATGGACAATTAAACCTTAACTATTTTCACAAATCAGACACATTCACTATTGAAAAAATAACCTTTGCTGTTATGATTTTATTTTGCACCCAAAGCAATCGCTCATTCCCTGTAATGAGAAGTCATTGATACACACACACACACACACACACACACACGCACACACAGTGTTAATTTGACTTGCCAGAAAGGAAAAAGTGTGATTCGCTTGAGTAGGTCCCTGGACATGAATCTAAAGACAGTAGGGAGCGTGCAGAGCAATCAAGTGATAAAGCTTATTATCTGAGAGGAGCTATATTCTAAGACTTATTATCTACCAGGAGTTAAATGACTTTCAGGTCCTCAAAGGCCTGATGGCCTGGTTTGACTTGGCAGGAGTGAGAAAGAAGAGGTGGTTGGAGGAAGCGGGGCGACGGATAGCATGCAGGAGGGCGTAAGAGAGAGGTTGAGGAAGAAGCAAGCAGGTGATGGAGATGGAGGAAGGGAGGAAGACGAGAGAGAGGAGAGAAAATCAGACGAGAGGAGAGGGGGAGCAGATGTAAAAAAGATGAGAGAGGAGAGGAGAAGTTTGAAGACAGGAGGGGGGAGGAGAAGGTGATTCACAGGCGTGGGCAGTGACTTCTGTCTTTTTGCAACTGCTGTGAGGCCAGTTTTCTGGTTAGGGTTGGGAAATATACTGTACTTCATAAAGCTGCAGAGTGCTACATTGTGTCTTTGTTGAGGCAGTTCAGATAGTTTACTACTATAGATACTGTAGATGGTTTATTGCCTTGGATACCACAAGTGTTGGCATAGCAACAATAGATTGTGTGCCCACTGGGAGCTAACAGAAAGGCTGGAGTGTATCTCCACTGATTTCACAATAATAAAATACATGACATCACTAAAAGCTGACCTGATGACAACAAAAGAAAAGGCAAAAAAGAGTTGTTTATATGTGCTTTTACAGAAAGTTGTCAAATTGTCTTAAGCTCAATGACTAGCAATAAAGCTTCTGCAGTGAGGCTCTCCAAATTGATCTCACATGAAAAAGTGTTACTTTGAGATGAGGTCCAGCTGAAACAATGCCTGACCAGGTCACCTTTCATTCAAAGTCACTGCAAGATCAAGGTTAGTTGGTCAGTTGCCCATGCAGTGTCACCAGAAGTCCATGACTGCAGTCCCAGAGACCCCCTCGTGTACTGTACTGTATGCCCTGGATCACAACAATGTGACCCTCTGCCAGCACACAGAAACAGCATCAGGCCCTTGTTGTTATTGCTGGTATTGAGGAAAAGAACTTCAGTCCAGCAAGTGTTAAGTGTATTTCAACTCACCAGTTTATTTCAGTTTCCATCTTTCTGTAACAGCAGTATTGTATTGTGTTCCTGCAGTTCTTCATACTGAAAGCCCTTTAAAATTCTGTCCCATGAAAAGTGTGTATAAGTTGAGCAGCAGTTGAAACAGCAGTGGTAGTATAAGGCCTAGATGTTGTTCTTTGTATTTGTTACGAATAGCCTAATAAATGAGTGGATTTTAAAATTGGATTAAATTACAAATCCTAAAACAGGATACCTAGAAGATCATTCAAGAGCATGGAGGAGATACCAGGAGATGGCCATTACACTAGGAGAGCTGGATAGGGCTGTAGAAGGGCATTAACCCAGCAGCAGGACCGGTATCTGTTCCTTTGTGTGAGGAGGAACAGGTTGAGCGCTGCCAGAGCTCTACAAAATGACCTCCAGCGGGCTACTGGTGTACATGTTTCTGGCCAAACTGTCAGAAACAGACTCCATGAGGGTGGCATGAAAGCCACTGGAAAGAGGTGATGTCACATACTTCTGTGTACCAGTGATGTGTTCTCATATTATCAGTCCAATGTTAATTAAATCTGAGGTTTAATTAGTTTGAAGTAAATACATAATAATTTGATAGTTTCATAATTAAGGTTATAGAGAAATATCAGAAATGTCAGATTTTAAACTAAGTTTCCAGGGCCGTTAAATGATACCCTACTTAACCACTGCTAACTGTCCAAAAATGGAATTAACTAATTGCTGTATTTAGCCATCCATTCAGCCCATTACTGGTGGATAGCTTCCAGCCTCAAGAGAGCTAATGAGCACACTGTCCACCAGTGTTAGCCCAGTCCCTCTTTAAAGTTGTAAACATTTAGATTTCAGTCCTGGTTGATTTAGTGACACCTGTGGATACAAGTAGGCCTAACAGCAAGTGTGATTTAATATCACAGTCCCAGAGTTCTGGGGTTAGCAAAACGAACTATTGTTGTTTTTATAAAGAAGTGAAGCAGGCCCTTTTTCCATCAATCTGTGAGCAGCCGTGATCTGCACCGCATGAGTCTGTAAACAGCAGGGAACCATGAAAGGAGTTGGTTATCTTGCTGAAAAGTTGGAGGTGTGCAGCCTGTTGCCCACAGCTCTTCATCTCACTGTGGCTGCTCCTTCTTGTTTCATTACTCTGCAATATTTCAAGCTGATCTGCTGTCAAAAAATGACCGTTGTCTTGTTTTGTAGAAGCATTTTTGATGAACAATAGCGGTCAATGCAAATCTCAATGACAAACATATTGCATTTCCTTTGACTACTTCATAAGTCACCTGGTGTTTCACCAGTTAAATGTGTTTAATGTGAAGCTGCAGCAGTAGTAAATGCAGTTTGCATTAGTAGTGACTTCACAGCATCTTTTCTGGGAATGTTGCCACCAACACCCAGTTTATGATACATTACATTAAATTGAAAATGCTTTTATCAGCGGGCCATAGGCTCAACCTCCATTGTGTTATCTCATTTGGCAACAGATAATAACTTAACTGACATTTATTCAAATGAAAATCTTCAAGATTATTACTATATAAACATACAATATTGACAGAGCTAATACAAAATATGGGCTGTAGAGTCCAGAGTCAAATGTTATTCTATGTAAATTAACTCAACACTCCTCTGACTTAAAGGTTAACTTGTTTAAGCTTCATTACTAACCACTCTAGTGCAGCGAAGCAGCTACAGTCCAATACTGTTTGTATTTTTATGTTGTGTATATTAATTATGATTGACAGAAGACTTTAATATATCTTTAAACAAGTCAAGACACAAAACTATGACAAATTGCCTCGGTTGGTTAAGATTATTCTTTATTATGAAGTGCCACAAAATGCTTTGTGTTCATTGTGCTTACATTGTCTGAATTCTGGCTCAAAAAAACCCAGGAAATCCTCTCTCTGCAGCAGAGAGCCAGATCTCCTGAGATAAGGTGTGTCAGATATCACTATACAGCAGTAAAAATGTCTCAATCCAAAGGATTCTTTACAAACCCTCTTGCAATAAATGATTATTTAGGTTACCATCATTCTTTAACTTGGAAATACAAAAAAAGAAGAGAGGTCAAGCTAGTACAAGGTTTTTAATTCTTCTCTACCTGAATTCTAGTTAGTTTCATTGTGCTACTTTCTTTTAAGGTGGAGATGACTAGAATGGAAGTGCTTAGAGAGAACAGACCTGGAGCTCACCCAGAGACAGACACAGATGCACACGCTAAGCTTTTCTGCCTCAAAACTACTAAACAGCCACACCATGACAAATACCCTTAAGACCTTTAATATGCAGTGCAGAGTTGCAAAGAGTTTTATTCCACAATGTTACAATTTGTGGGTCTTAAACAACAACTGCAGACATCGCAGCCAGATCCTCTCTACTCTCAACTTTGTACCTGTCACACTGTGATCAGTTGCTACAGTAGAAATTGTGTTTTCGTTCTCATTCAGATGGAAATCTGAAGTAAGATTTCAGAGTGGGTGGTTAAAATAATAGCATATTCTTATTTATTGGACCTATGTCGCTGAGCTGTATTAAGAAATATGAATTTAATACTTTTGTTTTCTTTGCATATATGGTCTCTTTTCTATACTTGTGCTTGTTTGTGTTTGTGAACTCCCTGTGTTTATGCACCTAATTTAATGTCTGGACCTACATTGTATATATGGTTGCTGTGGAGTATTTTGACCAAGACTTAAAAAACACAGAAGACAAAGACAAAAATGTAAGCCATAACAAGTTGGAGCTCTATGACTAATCGTCTGATACAATTCAGATAATTGCAGCTCAGATCTAGTTCACACATCAAGGAGAGAGATAAGACCTGTAATTTGCTGACTCACATACTGATTGCTTCACTCACAACCAAAAAATGGCTCTTTCTTATTGACTTGTGAGCTACATTTTTCCCCAAAAAACTGCTTTGTAAAAGACTTAAAGATAGTATTGTCTCCTACAATAGAAGACTATTATTACAAAATGTTGACTTTTTGACTTCAGAACATTTTCAGGTCTAACCGCCTTTGACAGCCTTTGATGTCAAACAGGTCCTATAACTTTATCTCTGAGATGTATATGAAATTAGATAATGGGTCCACGTATCAGTGCAGACTCTCCTTTTGTCCCTATGACCTTAAATGGTGTTGTAAATCAGTCAACCCCATCTTTAACAGAGTTATTTCATGCCTGAAGAAGCACTGCATTTATCAAAACTTCCTTTGTCAGAGATCCACATCTGAATACTAAACTCATTTCTTTTCAGTTGTTGAACGATTGACTGTAGACACAGATGCTCTATGTGGGGGCATGCACCCATGCACTTGTGCACGTATGTCTATGCAAGGTTACAAGGAATACATATGGCATATTATAGACAAGAACTTAACTTTTTGTGCAGGTCTGTGTGTGCTCAGTCTGTCTCTCAGCAAGCTCCATGAATCTGTAGAAAAGGTTTCTGAGCTGCAGAGAACTGGGTTCAGCAACACTGGTATTGGCCACCTAGCTCAAAGGTTAAACCGTCTACGGGTTGGGGTTGATTAGAGATAGCCTGTCTGTAGGTATATCACTCATAGAGATAGCCCATGGTCGGCCCAGTAGGGTTAAATGGGGCCTACTGCAGAATAATCAGGACTCGGTCTAATGTATCTACTGGACTGTAACGGTTAAGATGCTGTCAGACCATCCAGCTAAAGTGCATGCTTTTTCTGTGTTTTAAGAATACACGCTTTATGGTTTGGAAGTGCACTGGAGGGGTAGTTGAATAATGCATTGGATTTAAAGTTGACCTGGGTCCAATTTCAACAATGCACCAAACTTTGACTTGGTTTTCTATTGAAAATATATGAGAGTTGCTAAATACCATGTAAGCTAACTATCATATTGGCACATCACATTGCAAACGATCTGATTGCTGTATTGACCTTATTTTATTGTTTATTTGTATCAGGACAGAGTTTAGATGGGCCTCTTAAAAGGTCTGTAAAAGCCTGCTCTTACATTTCTTGACTGCATGACTCAGGGAAGATGTTTTCAACACATCCAAGTGCCATTTTAACATCCCCGAACTTTAATAAAACATTGAACTCTCATGAATGGCTAATGATCCAATGTTAGATCCAAAATTAGGCCTCTCCTGGTTATTGTTAGCAAGCTTATTTTGGGTGAGTTAGCCTAGCACAGGTCTGTCAGGGTTATAGTTATCCTACAATAGTCCTCACACCCAGCAGGCAGCTGATCCCAGCCTCTCTAGCCTACATCCTACATTAGTTCTACTCACTAAGAGGCAGGCAGTGCATAACAAGAGAGGAAAGACAGGACTTTTATTTTTGTTACTCTAACACTACATTGGCATGTTCCCTGATGTCTGTAATATTAGTATTTTTCTGTTTATGACTATAGGTGAAGTAAAACATACCTGATTTTTAAACTGCTATACAGTAGTAGGTAATACTTCATAACTTCATCATAAAATACCATGCATTAGTGATTATTGCTTTTAAAGAGTCTATGGAGGCTCCAAGAGAAAAATATTGCCCTCAGGTTCTATCTATAGGATTTTGGCAAAATCATAAGCTTTTTATGATGTTGGCATAGATTTCATAATTTTTTTGCATGCAATAACGTTAATAGAAAAAAAAGGTAAACAACATAATAAAAAATCATACTCAAAAAAGTGACATATGCTTTGGCCTGTAGTGATAGAAAGAGGTTGGCAAATATCCTACATACATATACAGAAATTAAAGTGCAACAAATAAGTTAACTGTATCACTTCATTGTTATCAAATCAAGTATAAACATACATCAAATAAAAAAGGGAAAATGCTCAAATAATAAAATAAATAAATTGTATTTTTACCTCAGTAGTGGAGAGAATAGGGTCACTTGGTGCAGCAAAACATTATTATTATCATTATTATTACTGTTATTATTACTATTATTCCCCCAAAAAACAAAATGAGAAGGAAAAACTCTTTCACTGCATTTCGGTGCAGGGAGGAACCCAGTAGCTATAGGCTTACTATTGTCTTTGTCATCATCCTCATCACCATCAGTGTCCGAAAATATACGATGCCATACTGTATCTAGATGCCAGAAGGAAGCTGTGTTAGTATTATTGTCTCTATCCAGAGCAGACAGAGGAACAGGAGGTGAACAATTTTTGAGGAAGTGCATGCGTAGATCAGTTAAATCCTTAAGTGGGCAAATCTCAAGGAGAAAAATTGTGCTATCTTCATCATCTTCATCATCATGAATAGGCTCCAAGGAAAAGCAAAGGTGGGGGGAAGTGGGGGGGCAAGGTCATATTCTGACCAAAAATAGATTGTTTGTGTCTGCAGTTCAGTTTGTAAGGATGATGGTAATTTACGTCTGCAGATTTGTCTGTTGTTTTATCTCTGCAAGGGGTCATGCATCTAGGGGGCCTAGAGGAGAGAAGGGGCCTTTGAAGCAGGCGGACTCGTAGTGCTTGTTCAGGTAACTCTTGAGCGCGAAGGTCTTGTTGCAGCGTTTACACTTGAAGTGTTTGAAGGCCGAGTGGGTCTGCATGTGAGCGCGCAGGTTCGAGCGGTCTGCGAAGGCCTTCCCACAGTGGGCGCATCCGAACGGCTTCTCGCCCGTGTGAGAGCGCATGTGGCCCTGCAAAAGCCACGGTCGACTGAACGCTTTCCCACACACACATCGCATTTGTGCTTGAGGTCGTGAGTGAGCAGGTGCATGGCCATGGCAGGCATGGACACGTACACCTTCCCGCAGGTTGGACATTTCTTTGCCAGCTTGCTGTCCAGCGAGCGATGTGTCTGTTTGTGCCGGCTCAGATTGGAAGACGTGGCGTAGGTTTTGCCGCACTCGTTGCAGGTGTGCCTCTGGATGGTCCTGGGGCTGCTGATAGCTTTCCTCCTCGAGCGGCCGTCGGTGATGAAGAAGGCATCAACTGTGTAGCCCTCACTCACTGCTGCATCTCCATTGATGTAACCGTCAGTGATTTCTGAGCCAGGACTGTCAGGGGACTCGGAGTCAGGAGCCCCATAGTCGCTGTGGATACCATCGTAGAGGGGGTCAGGGGATGGCACCTTGATCCCACTGTCACTCTCACCATCATACACAACAGGGCTGATGTAGTCACTGATGTAACCAGCTGACATGGGAAACAGAAAACAATGTTACGTTATAGGACACTGACGTGAAAGTTATAATAGAAACGGATTTACACTGAAGACTGGCATCGGAATCAGAAATATATACAGATTTAGACTTATGTTTTTGTCTTGATGTATATAGGCAGTAAAATATGCAAATTTGCTACACACTAGGCTACTGGCAAAAACATAATTTTTTCGTGGACTGGTCAATTTTTGAGATTGTGGGCTTTTGTATCCATTACATGTCTACTTTAAACTAGTGAAAAACAAAAAAACAAACAAAATACACATACACATTTCAGAAAACTTAAAAAATAATTGTCTTGATGTTATTTATCACCTAGGGGAGTTGTCTGTGAAGTCACCCACGTCATAGTTATCTAAGGAAGATTAACCTGACTTGGTTGAAGATACTTTGAAAGCATTTCGCCTCTCATCCAAGAGGCCTTTTCAGTTCTATGACTGGCAGGGAGTCTCAGCTGTTAATCTCAGCTGTCATTATCAAGGTGATGGACACCGTTTGGTTTGTTAGCACTCCTAGCTGTTGTAACCGCAGTCATTACGGTCGTTAAAGTCACCTGTGGCCAGGTCTGAATGGCAGTCGTTGGCATTGTCACGAGGTCAAGTGTGAGTGTTTGTTCAATCTCATGGGAAGGGATGAAAGACCTCATCCCCTGTTGAGAGATGGCTTCTCTATTCTGGTGTAAATTGCTACTTTCACTCCTCTTTCAAACCATCTGTCCTTTCTGTCCAGAATATGAACATTGGTTCGAAATAGTCTCTTTATCCTTCAAATGTATGTAAACTGTTGAGTCTTGACCTGAGGAGTTCTTCTGTGTTGAGCCATGTGTTTGTGTAGGTTGTTTAGTTTCCCTGATATACAGGTCTGTGCATTCCTCACTGCACTGGACAGCATGCACTAGAGTAGCATACGCTAGATTATGCATTAGACGGTGTGTGGTATCCACCACCTTGATAACAACCCCACAGAGATTTAATAGCTGAGACTCCCTGCCAGTCAGAACTGAAGAGGCTTCTTAGATGAGAGGTGAAAGAATCTTCAACCAGTTGCCCTTCATTTTAACCTTCTTTTGATTATTAGGGGAGTTTCATGGTGATCTATTAGTTAAAATATTTACCCTATTCACCAGTAGTATCTGACCGTGGCACAAATGGCCATAGGTGCAACATTTATCCCATATCACAGCAGAGACTCACAGTTCATATAACAGTAGAAAATGTGACAAACATTTGCTACTGCACATGTCTGTCTAACAGGGAGACAACAGAGAAAAATTTGGATTAATGCCATTAGACTGCTGTAGCCAGCTGGACAAGAAGAACAGAGTGAAATCAGATAGTCATCTTCTCTCCCCAAGCTTATCTTTCTTCACAGAGACAGTAATGCAGAGATTCAGTATACTGACCAGCATTACACAGTCTGAATTGCTGCAATTAAATGTGTGTTCTCAGTGATGTAGACAACTGAATTACACCATTAGTGTTATACAACTCATCTTATGTGTATGTGTATGGTGTCTTTTCTGCTTCTGCATCCCACTTGACTGCATTTGCTATGATACAAAACATTGAGATGATGTGTTCATTCAGCAGCTGGCTCATTCAACTGGTAACTTGTTTCTAACATGTTACTGTATGTATGTGGAAAGACCATTAAGTAGTTCACTATGGACACAAGCGCTGACATGACAGGTGGATCACTATGTGTTGAGAAACCAGGTCCAATTTTTTATTAAACTGAAAGAAGGCTACACAATGGTTGAAACTGAATGTTCCAGTGAAATCTGGTCCTAGGTCAGTAATTTTACATGTGGTATTTAAGAGATTTGATACTATGTACTGACAAAAACTTAAATAAGCTACCACCTGTCAGGTATGAAAGGACACAGAATGCAGTGATAGTCGTAGTCCTTCAGCATGTATCTGCCCTGTATAAGACTTTGGCCAAGTGCCATTCCCTGTATTTGCCCTGCATAACTAGTAATTCACCATCAGTAAAGCAACAGCAAATGTGAGTGCTTTTAACATATGTGAAAGTCACATATTGTAACACAGAACATCTGACTGTCTCTCTCCTCTCACACCTGTGGCAAGTAGTGGAGTGTGAAAAAAAAGCCTCCAGTTATTAGAGATAATTCAGCAATGTAATTCCTCTCAGTCTCAAAGGTGGCAGTTAAAACACTTCCTTTGTGGATAATAAATGCACACAGGCTGACCCTGAACTTGAGAAAGCTGATTTAGGGAGTGAAAATGAGCATCAGCACCACGGACAGATCCAGTGCGGTGCAGGTCGCTGGCACATTGACAGTGAGGCTGCCGTACAGGCTCACTCTGTGAAGACTTGCACAGAAAGACTTTTAGGCAAAATACAGTGAATGAAACTCAAGCAGTATGGATATATATGAGCAGGTTGGATGATGCTAGTATGGACATTTTTCAGGGGCTTCATAAATATGTGACTGGCTAGAAATGCTTATTTACATGTACATAAACATAAACAACTGTACATAAACACATACTAACTACCATATTTACAAGCACACACATTATAAAATAGCTTCAGACTTGGTTCACTGACATTCACTCTAAACACAAGTGTGTGGATGTACAAGTGTGTCATTACTCACATGTTGTTTTCTGCTTATTTACTGTTTGTTGTGGCTTTTTGTGGCTTACTGCCTTTGAATAATAGTGACATCATGGGTTTAGTTTAAATAGCTTAAATGCAGACTAAACTGGCCCTGAACACAGGAATCCAAAAACACAACCTGTGACACTGCAATAGGCTTATATCCTAACCTTTTCTCATTATTAATCATATACACCCAATACCCTATACAAATCCATCCTTTAACTTGTTAAGAAGTTACATCTACACTGAGCCAACCAAAAAAAACAGCACACTATCCACAGATACACAAAAAACGCAAAAAGAAAAGTATGGGCATAGTAGCTTTTTAAATATAATTTTTGGATAATTTTAATTAAAATATCAAATCAAGTTTATTGCCGCATTCACAATCATGTACCTCTAGTGAAATTTGCTTCACCTCCATTGAGAAATGCCCTGCTCCAGCCAGGATACAAACCCAGAACCTTTTTTGCACTGAGGCTACAGTGCTAATGACAGACCAGTAACCATTATGCTACATAATGTAGTCTGGATGTGCATCCTTGGGGAACAAAATAGTAATTTACTTTTTTCTTCTTTAAGAAATTCATGTTGTTATTATTGATCTGGTGTCTCAGAGTGTTTCTGAGTAAGATGCAGGAGCAGAAAGCTCTATGGTATGCTATAGGCCTATGTGACACCACATATCTGTCTATGTGTTAACAACTACGAGCGTCCCATCTGAAAACACAGTCCCCATCACATGCAACGCACGGAACACGGGAGGGATATAAATTATTCCAAAAGCCGGTTCGTTCAAGCAGAGAGTTGTTGTGGGCAGAGCATGTGCTGCAGTGTATGTAGAAGCTGTATTAAGCTGTTGCCATCAGATGTTAGGGATGGAGACAAAAGGTGGCTGGGACAGGCAGCGGTGCACGGTGCAGCTGAGGCTGCAGATCGCGTGTCAAGCCGAGCAGGGGGCTTGTTAACCTCGACATTATAAATACACCACTGACAGCCTTTTTGCTTTAGGAGCAGTTAAATGCTGGCAAGACCGCGCACGGAATACACATGTTGATGTGCAACATTGTGCCAGTGACATTGGGGTGGAAGCAATGCAGTGGCTTCATCTACATTTGTGTGTGTGTGTGTGTGTGTGTGTGGTGGGGGGGGTAAAATGTGACGCACACAGTTACAGGGTGTGAGGAAGTTCACAGCTTCAGCAAAGGGCAATGCAATGGGGCCCCACTTTGTTAGGCCTAAAGTGTAAATATAAAAAGAATATTATAAAATAATTAAACAATTACACCAGGACAGTTAAACATAGTCCATCCCCTGGGTTAGAAATGTTACTTCGTTTCAGACTCGGTTACCATTAACTTATGTTCAACAGTTCATATGTGACTGTAAAGTGAGATAGTCAGGAACCTAGCTACCACAATGCTGGCTTGTGGTAGCTCTACAAAGAGTAGACATACAAAGAGTAATACTTTTATTTAAAAATACATAAACTATTTAGTATAGGCAAGATCACCGTGCAAAAATCTGCCGACATTGCAAAAACGAGACCGGCATACCTGGACACTGAGCAGACCCCCAATGCCGAAGATATGAGCCTGTGATGGGGCTGATTGTATATGCAAACAAGAGAAATAAACCAGGACAACACTGGACCACAGCACTGTTATATAAAGGATTACTAAACCGCTGCTTATTTCTGCTGCACCTGGAGGCGGCTGGTGGAGAAAAATGTCGGTGGAGTGTAAAAACGATTAGATTATTTTCCTCTTTAAAACATCTACACCCAACCCAGTATGTTTCATGCACCTTAACCAGAAGAATCGAACTGAGCTTGCAGAACCACGTCCAGAAAAAGATAACATTTAAACTGAGCTCCGCATTTGTTAATTACAAAAAAAACAAAAAAAACAAGTGCAAGTGGACCAGATATTAATAACCACCGCCCTGTCTTTATCTCTTTTAACCTTACTTAGCCTGCGTAGTGGGGGAAAGGTCCCGGCTGACTATGAGCCAGAATCGATGAAACATGGGACGCGCTGGATTTAGTTGATTTCTCAAGTGACCTTTCTGCTCCAGACGCTTAAAATCAAGCCTGCTGTAACTTAAATATTCCCAGTAAATAAAGTGTTAGCTTGCGTGGCGCAGTAACACTCACTGAGCTGGGCACAGTGGCCCGTGTCCATCCCATCACTGTCCTCCTCCTCTGAGCCATCGCAGTCCTCTGAAGTGCACAGCTCTCACAGGCTACACTAATAACTCTTTGAAGTCCCAGAATTACTACATTTTACAATTACAAAATTTTGCAATGGACTGCTTAGTGCGGGGCTTTGAAGCTTGTATTAGCCTTCAGGATGGTAATGACTGTGATAACTCTGTGCTGCCTGTAATCAATGATTATAGGCTGCTTATCTGCCTTGAGCACACCCACATCACCCTACAGGTATAGCCAACAACCCTGTGAAGAATTTCAAACGCAAATGCTACAGAGACACCAGATGAAGAAATATTTGAGGATATTATAAGAAGTCCCCGTGCGAATTCGATAGTTGTCTTTTGTTGATAGTTGCAGATCTGCGCACGAATGTGTCAGATGTGTCAGGGAATCCCTCCAGGACACAACAGGTGAATCCACCTCTTAGTCACTCATGCCTTATTTTGGAAACAGCGCTGTCAGGCTCCCTGCCTGTCACCCTCCTCCTCTTTGTCAGAGCGACTTGTTTCTGAGACACCTGTTAATGCTCGCTGTGTAGGCAGCCTGACCTACCTTTGTCATGGAGCCGCAGGCTGAGGTCTGTCCTGTGCCGGTAGACGTTCTCCAAATCCGCCCCGGTGGAGAAATCATCCAGTTTCACCTTTTTCACCAGGAAAGACCTTGGCATGGTGGTGCGACACCGACACACACTGTCACGAACACAACGACACACACTGACAAACACAGCCGATCGCCGACGGCCTGGCCAGCGTGGTGATTCGCCCGTTACACGCCAACAAGACAGGCGAACCACAGGAGGGTTGTCTTCAGATTTTGGAGGAGCTGTGAATTGATCCGGTAAAATAGTTGATTTCTTTTCTGTTTCAGTCTCTCCGGCTGTCTTCTGTCTCCCCGCGTTTAGTCCTCGTGCAGAAGAAGGTGAAAATGCAACTTCAGCACCGGACAGCTCCCTCCGGGGGGTGCCTCGGGTTCTCTGCGCTCGCGGGCAAAGGCTCGCGAGCAGTCAAAAAATAAAAAACAAAATAAGAGGCGGTGGAAGGCACCCTGCAGCGCGTGCGGCAGCTCGCGGGCCTCTTTAAAGAAGAGGACGAAGAGATGGAGGAGGAAGAGGAGGGGGAGGAGGAGAAGGGAGGGATGCAAAGAAAATAAGAGGTAAAAAAAAAAACGGAAGGACTATTTTAGAAGCTTTTCCAAAAGAAAAATGTCGGACACCTTGTCCTTCCCTCTCTGCCGCAGAAGTAGTCCTAAATTCCAGTTAAAGAAGACTTACTCAGGTCGCTAGAAAATCACAATAAGACTCCCTGCGGTGGAATGGATCAACAGCATCCCCTCTTTTTCTTTCTGTATCCCCCTCTCTTCTCTCTCTCTCTTCCCCTCGGTCCCTCTCTTTCTGCAGCTTCCGCGAGGTGTTCCCGTGAGTGTGCCGTCTCGCGATCAGCTGTTGGCATTTATACGGCGCAGAGAGAGAGAGAGAGAGAGAGAGGATGGAGGGATGGATAGACACACACGGGTAGAGGGGAGTGCTTAATTTAATCCATCCCACATCCCCGGGGAGCGGCGACTGGCCCGGATGATTTATTGAAGCTGTTATCACCCCCCACCCCCTTCTATTTCTTTCTCTGTCTTTCATTCTCCTTCTACCTCCTTTCTCCCTTTCTCATTTTTTGATTGTGTGTGTGTGTGTGTGTGTGTGTGTGTGTGTGTGTGTGTGTGTGTGTGTGTTTGCGCGGTGTGTGAGGCGGGTCGCCATGTTTGGGGGAGATAAGATTGGAAATTATGTTTTTTGTTGTTTTTTTTTGATTCAGCTATCGCAGCATGTAACATGGCTTTTTAAAATATTGTGCAAGCTTTTTTTGGGAAGTCCATATCTTCTTTTGGGGGGGGGTTCCTCTTCTTTTATCACCTGCTAAGCATATTATATCTTTGCTTGTTTTCGCGATGCCATGGATCATACCAGGGAATATTAACTAGCATGCTGAGAGCCTCATAATTATCATTAATGCAGCCCTGAAGGCAAATGGGTGTAGACCAAATGGAGTGTTTTACTGTGACTGCGGGATTAATATGGGAGTAGAGTGATTTCTGCTCCAGGGTCACACTGGGTTCACTGACAAGTTTTACTGCAAGATGGAGGATTGTCTCTGCTTAGTGTGGGTGTTATGTAACAATAACAAATATAATTTGAGAGATTAATGAATCACCTGCTGTGTAGACTTTCTTAATTCAGCCTCACTCTCTTTTTGTCCTCTCTATCTCAGTCTCCCTTTCAGCCCCCAAGTAGAAGTTTTATAATATCTCTTTAAAAAGAAGAGAAAAATACATGTTTGTTTGTACACAATTTAAATATTTTAGGGTTTAATTTATTTTTTATATTTTAGGGTTTCAATTTATATTTTGTGGTTCATAATCTGAGGGACTCCTCTTAGAGTCAGTTTATAAATATTTTTAAATTAGTCCCAGGGTGTGTGAAAGTACACATTCCTGAGTTCATGTCTCACAAGAGTTGCTGTTTAATGAGGTGATGTAGGTGGACTGTAGGGCACACTGACTCAGGTTTGTAGGCTCTTGGAAAGTTGCTGAACATCTGTTGAAGGTTAGGGGAAGCTCAGTAAAGATGACTCAGATCTACAGAGATAAACAAGTGTTCATAGTAATGGGTTTAAGTTTGTTTATCAACTCTGGCATTAGAGTTTATTGGAGCTAATGGGCCTTGTTTCTGCAGAGACTTGGTCTGCTGAGTTGTCGACACTTGATACCTTAACTTGAATAATGTCCCAGGATCTGTGGGAAATTACATACAATGGGGACATTATGCAGGGTAAAATGAAACATAAATTATGAATTCAACTGTAATTTGCATTGTGAATAACTTCAAAGTGATAAAACCTCAATTCAAATAAATACATGTGTTTTTAAAATACTTTATTTAATGATACAAATATGTACATTTGTTGTGTATATGTAATATTTATCTCTCTGTGTATTTTAGATCTAAGGTGGGGTGTGTACAATCATAGAAGTACATGCAGTAGGTCAATATTATCCATCAAGGACAGTAAACGGAAATATTAGTTACTCTTCTTCTTTCTCTCTGTCTTTTTTCGGTCTATAAAATCCATGCTTACAGTAAAGAGCATTAAAGGTTATATCAGTGTCTGCTTGTAAATGAAACACTTGTGGGAGTAAACATATTAAAATTAATCAAATATTAAGTATTTAGAATTTAGAAAAGTTACCAACATTGTCAAATATAACTTATTTTGCAATAGGAAAGGGGATTTCTGTGTCAGTCACATTGTTAGTCTTTGGTCACGTCTTTATTGAGATGTTTTCGCTGGTTAAATCAATGAATTTATAATCTCTTTCAGTCAAACAGATGGAGGAGGACATCGAAGATGTTGTTAGAAAAGGCAGCATGATGATGATTAGTGGAAGGATGAGTTTTCTTGCATAGTTGATGAGGAGGGTGGTGATGATGAAGACTGAACTGACTGAGGCATCATTTGAACTTGATGCATGGATATCTACTGTAGGGGCCAGATATATTTCCTCTCTGTGTGTATTTAGTATTGATTACAAGCCGCATGATTTGTACAAAATGTCTGTATTCAATATGTTTGATGATGACTCCAGACTGTTAAAGTATTGTGTGTGTGTGTGTGTGTGTGTGTGTGTGTGTGTGTGTGTGTGTTGTGATACCAGTCCATCTGTTGTCCTTAATCAGGGGAAGAGCAGATGAGTTCCATCACCTGGAGACTGGCTCAGGGAGGTCCAATTAAACACACTCAAACACTCACATGCACACATGCACAACTGGCTTAACACACACACACACACACACACACAATGCACAACCTCCTACAACAACTGTCAGTAGACTGAAATAACCTACAACATTAACATATTTCATCATCATTAGAGGCCACACGAACACACGCACCCTAACAGCTAGACACATATGGTCAGAAATAAACAGACACACTGACTTGACTCAAACCCCCCACACACACACACACACACACACACACACACACACATATATAAATGTAGTTGTTCATCCATTGAAAAGGACTAAGCAAGGATGTTAAATGTTTTTTCATCCCTGACATCTGGCATTTTTAAAATAACATATACTGTATATTCCTGCCAGCAAACACTAAGTGCCAAAGTGACAGCCAGTCACTCATTGTGTATATCAGACTGAGGATGTGAGCGTCATTTCTAAAGATGGAAGGGACAATAATCCACTGCAGCACCCGCAAGTGTGAACTGCAGCCAAAAGTGGAAAGCTCTGGGTGTTCTCTCGCTCCTCACACTTTGCTAACAGCACCTCACTTATTTTTAGGACAAACGGGAGGTTTTTTAGTTTGTCAGCAGGCCTTGTGCAGCAAATCTCAACCCAAAAGAAAGTGTAATACAAATACAGATTTTCCACTGGGATTATTTAATCTGGTCAGTTTGCTTTCAAGCAATGTTTGATTTGAATAACACAGGAAACATATCTTTAAAATGCTCTAATGCAGACATTTAGTTTTTTTTGCTTTATGTCAACTGTAGTAGTTGGTAACTATGTGAAAGTGATTATATTTTTCTTTTTCTTTTATCATTTCACTCATTATCATTCAGCTCTTGCTACAAAATGACTTCCAATGTCTGAATTATGCAATACAAGACATTTTACCAGAGATTATGCATTCAGTCTACTAAAAGGTGTAAGAGACATGTTTGTATAATACTGCAAGACGTTTTAACATCTTCACTAAATTAAGCTGGTTTGGCAAGCTGCTGTATGCAACTGCCCATAGAGATAAATGCAGTTGAACTGAGTTGAAGACATAACACATCCCTGCAAGGATTCAGGATGTTTCACTGTGCTTAGTTTAAGCAGGATTCAGTGAACAAAATGCAAAATATATCATAACTTTTTAAATAATGTTTTTATTTAGCTAAAGATTGAAGTATGTTAGGGGATTTGGCTTATATATGATGAGGTTTCCGCCATATTTTTTCCTATGAAAGTTTTTTTTCTGGGAGTTTTTCCATATCCAGCTATTTTATGCTGTTCAGATTAGGATCTGTGATTTTGTTAACTTAACTTGATATCTCACAAATATAACATTATACGCATGTTTCAGAGGAATGTGAATGGGAGAAGTGCGTGCGTGTGTGTGTGTCAGATGCTTCTCCAAGGTTAGCTGTGATAGATGTCCTGTTTGGTTTAATTGATGCTGTGCCATGTTGAAGGCCGACCCATGTGTTGAACACCAAACACGGAGCCGCTGCCCAGCTGCTATGTGTACATGTGTTTGTGTATGTGTGTGGAGGTGTGGAGGTGGACATGGATGTGGATGTGGGAGTGTATATGGTGCATGGTGCATGTGACAGGCAGGCAGCTGCTGCCTTATATCCCAATATGAACACACACACACACACACACACACATTCACTGGATTAACACATAGTGCTCTTATATTTATGACTTATTATTGCACATCTCCAACTCTAAACAACACACACACTTCCTGCAATACCTTATTGTTTACATATGCACTAACTTAAAGGACTCATTAACTAATGTCTGCAGTATTTAAGCATCTGCAGCACACATAGTGAAAAAAAAATCCATGATGCAGGAAAAGTCCCAATTTATATGTTATACATAGACATAAGTCACACATTATTGAGTGTTATAATTAATTTGACTATTTCTGTTGTTTCTTGACAATTCAAGGCCACATGAAAGTTTCTTTCTCACCCCTCTTTTTCTCTGTCAGGGATGAGTACACATGTGTAGGTGGTTTTGCTCTTGTGGCCAAAATGTTTCATCAAGGAGCATCAAAAGTCAAAATATATTCTTTTTCCCTCTCTGTGTGTCCCTTTTGCCTCTCATTTTGTCGTTTCTGAAGGTGAGCCTTGTTCTGTTCTGTCCTAAAGCTGTTCTGTCGCAGTAACGCTAAATATTGCTGAGCAGCTCTTCTCATCAGGCACACACTCACACACACAAAGACACACACGCACGCACACACACACACACACACACACACACACACACACACACACACACACACACACACACAACACACACACACACACACATGCACACTTGCAGCCACACGCAGAAGTGCTGGGCTAGGGGAGAAATGTGGCCTGTTTCTTTGCAGTTTTTGATGACTCCCGCTGTACTCGTGAAACAGAATGCAGCGTACATTAGCACAGGATAGTGTGTCCCAAAACAGAAGAGAGGAGAGGAGGGGAAAGGAGCTGCCTTTACATCAGGATATCCCATTAAAAGTTGAGTTATAACAGTTGCACAGCCGTTATCAAAACGTTAACATTTATCTCCAAGGTCCACTTAAGCACTTGTTCTGGAGCTTTTGGCTGTATTATATGGTCTTCATCAATGATAAAAAACAGCTA